GACCTCTACTGCGACGATGACAGTCCTTCTCCGATAGCCTCTGCTGCCTTCTTCAGGAACTCTGACCCCAACACATGGTGCGAAGCCTCAGCTTTTCTCCAGAACCAACTTCAGTCCTGTAGCTTCCTTTACAACTTGGGATATGCCTCCACTGTTGGCCTCTCCTAGGCCCTCAGAGGGCCAAGCTCAGCTGTCCTCCATGACCCTTCAATGGACTGAGATGCAGCCTTGACCACTCTGGACCACAGCTTCCGAGTCCTGTCTCTGAAGGAATTCTTCCCAAAAGAGTTTAACTCAGTGTTGCTGGTTTCTTATTCAGACTTTTATCTTTCCTGCTCCAGCTGACCTGCATCAACGGTTGAAGTAAAGCAAAGGTTTCACTTCCGTGGATTCAAGAGCCAAAGTAGCACACAAATCACCTGATGGAGCTTTTGCTTCCCTGTGAGCCTTCAGCACCAGGCCTCCATCTGATTTCTCTCAGTATTCTTCTCTTCTGAGTTCCCATGGAAAAGCCTGTTTGGCTGCTTCAAGCCAAAGTCCCGAAACAACGTGGCCATGTCCATCATGTCACAGCAGCTCCACACGGTTCTTTTATCAATTTATTTCCCAGTTTGCTTTAAACCAACTTGAGAGGGAAGGAATTCATTCAGCTTATTTTACACATCACAGTATTTGGTTGAGGAAAATCAGGGCAAGAACTCAAGCCGGATCCTGGACACAGGGCCATCATGGTGCATCCCTGCTTGCTGCCTAGCTTGCTCTCTCTAGTTCTCTCAGCTACCTTTTTTTTTTTTAAGATGTATTACTATTTTTACTATGTGTATGAGAGCAGATATATGCACATGAATGCAAGTACACACAGAAGTCAGAGGCATTGGATCTCCCTAGAGCTGAGGTTAAAGGCAGTTGTAAGCTGCCTGGTGTAGGTGCTGGGAATCAAACTCAGGGCCTCAGAAAGAGGCTCTTAACCACTGAGCCACCTCGCCAGCCCCACCAGCTGCCTTTTTTATAGAACCCAGGACCACCTGCCCAGCAGTGGCACCACCCACAGTGTGCTGGGATCTCCTCCTACTACAATTCATCTCATTTAGGAGAGACTTCATGACCAGGGCATCTCTCACCAAGGAAACATTTAACTGGGGCTGGCTCACAGTTCAGTTCATTCGCATCCTCGGCGCAAGCATGGCGGCATTCAGGCAGACACGGTGCTGGAGAAGGAGCTGAGAGTTCTGCATCTGGATCCACAGGCAGGAGAGGGAGACTGTGTACCACACTGGGCCTAACTTGAGCATAGGAAACCTCAGGGCCTACCTCCACAGTGGCCTGCTTTCTCCAACAAAGCTACACCTAATAGCGCCACTCCCTGTTGGTCAAGTGTGCAAACACATGAGTCTACGGGGCCGTTCCTATTCAAACCACTACAGCAATTAAGAAAGGGCTCCCACTTCCTCCTCAACGCATATGTGCATACTCATATATAGAGGTTTGTGTCAAGCTGACAGAGCTGACACCGTTGCTCTCTTTTCACACATTAGAGAAACAAAAAGCTTCAGGGAGGTACCTAGCCATGCCATTGGCTCTGTACGGTTCACAAAGTGTAAAGAGGTCCATTGCTCACATGCTTTGATTATATTTTGTTTTTAAAGAATACAAGTGGAAAGTAGCTTTTAAAACTAATCCTTGAGGGTTTTCTGTCTCCCAAGAGCCGCTGAGAATTGTTAATAGACCATTATTAAGGTCTTTTTGGTGGGGTTCCCGATGATCTAAAACTCACTGTGAGTTCAAATAATTTGCCTCCTGTCAATAAACACCATTCTCAGTTTTTTTAGAACTAGATCAGGGACTAGAGAGATGGCTCAGCAATTAAGAGCACTTGCTGCTATTGCAGAGTTTGGTTCCAAGCACCAAGGTCTGGTGGCTCACAACGGTATTTCCAGCTCTCTGAGGATCTGACCACTCTGGCCTCCAAGGGCACCTGCACTCATGTGCAAACACCCACACAGAGACGCACTCACCCCCACACATAGTTAAAAATCATAATAATAAAAATCTCAGACCAAGCCGGTTGTAGTGGTGCACACCTTTGGGAGGCAGAGGCAGGCAGACCTCTGTGATTTCGAGGCCAGCCTGGTCTACAAATCGAGTTCCAGGAAAGCCATGGCTAATACACAGAGAAACCTTGTCTCAAAAACAAAACAAAAACAAACAAAAATCTAAAACCAACATTTAAAAGCAGAACAGGAGTTTGTGGTAATGATCCTCATGGATGTATATTGAACCAGGGTGACTTTTTTGCTGAATGTAATTTCTAGAGAGGGCTCAAGAAAGAATGTGCGTGAGATGCTGAACACAAAATGAGCATTTCATGTGCGTGCTTTTGTTCATGCAAAGATACCTTTCCTACCAAGACAGATCATGACTGGGAGGATAAAAACAGATTCTAATACCAGAAAAGTGAAAACAGATTCTGGGTTGTTGCAGCACTTGGTGAAAATTGGGAGGAACTTACATTCCACATGCAAAATAAGTTGTGCGCAGAGCAAAACAGTGGACCTGTGCCAGAGCAGAAGACTAGAAATGACCTAACTGCGGGGGACTGCATGAGCCGCGCTCAGCTACAACAGGTTTGCAGTTGTTAGCACACCGGAGAAAGAGAACACTGAAGAGACACAAAGTCAATGGTCTCTTACTTAAACTGTAAGAAGTGGGGTGGAGCACGTGGGAACAGGCACGCATGTTACTATGTGCAAACGGGAGCATGGAGGTTGTGGCTTATGCTGGAAACAGAGAGCAATTTCCCCACACTCTGTATTTGGGGGTTGAGAAAAGCAAGTACATAAAACGTATATGTTTTTTGCTCTTTCATACCTTTTGAATGGTGTGCCATGGGCACATAGTTCGTATTACCAAAAACATTTAAAAAAAAAAAAAAAAACTAGTGTAAAACGTGATCCACAGACAAATGGCTCAGACCCTTAAACTTCAATGAAGACTCTGGCACGGCACCACTCACGCAATACTCATTAACTTGTTGAGCAAAAAGTAACCACTTGGACGGAGTTTAACAACGCTCCCCCAAATGAACCATTCAATATTTTCCATTTAAATGATATGTTTTCAAAGAAGGGAAGTCATTGTGACCCGAATGAACCAGCCATGTTATAGAAAACTTCTAAAGCTGATAGGAAAGTCTAGAACCAGCGTAGAAATCAAATGCTTCCTGCAATGGAATAATTTCCTCCGTTGGGTTTAATTGGGGAATTTAGAAAATTACATAATTTTAGATATGTGATGTTTTAACCAGGAAAGCCAACCTATAAGCTTTTCTTTTATTGTATATTAACACGAATCTACAGATTCAAAAAATGGCTGTGCTGTTTTGTTCAAATGGGATGAAAATGAAGATTACAATAGGTGTCAGGTTTCGGCCAGCAGCCATGAGGAGCTTCTCACGCCTACCCACTGTGGTGTCTCCTGTCTCTACCCCCACAGCTGCTGTAAGGAGATGGCAGGCCCCCACTGAGAGATGGACTGTGAATCTGTGACTGTCTGACATACTTCCCAGGGGCCCGAATGCCAGGGGAATATTAGGGACAGTAATTCTTCCCCACAGGAAGTTTACACACCTCAGGCTGCCAGACTCTCGGACACCAGGGGACTATGCTGGCCCGTCCCTTGGATAACAGGTACATCTTAATTAATGCAGCCTCCTTTCCGCTCATCACCAAGACCCCCTCCCATCTATTTCCCCTGCCACCAGGGAATCAGAGCCAGTCTGACTATAGGCAGCACCACAGATAGCATCAACCAGGGGCCAACAATCTTCCCCTTGTAAAGTCTCCCAGAAGGAAAGATGCACAAGAGAACAGAAGCAACTCCAAGGCATCATGAGCTCTTTATCTGGGAAAAGAAGCCTGCAAAGGGGCCTCTCAGGTCTGGGAAGCAGAGTTCACCAGCAGCTGTCTGCTTGCCAGCAGGGGCGGCTCCAGCATGGGAGGAGGAAGGGGGAAGACTTTTGGCCATCGCCGGGGGTAACCAGTGAGTCAGTTAAAGAATGCCAGATAATTAATAAACAGCTCCCTAGCCTAGCCATCCTATCCCTGGGGGGTTGATAGGTCAAGAGGGTAAGAATTTAGAAAATCAAGTTCAGCCAAAATGGTGTGAGCATGGCTGACACCCTTGAGATCTACAAGAAACCCCTCACTCTGCCTAAGGGGCCTGACCTCTCCTCAGAGCCCTACCATGTGACTATCTGTCTGTCTGTCTGTCTAAGCACTGATAATGCATTTCAAATAATGCTCGAGTGTGCAGGATCCTGCTATTGGGGATCGGGAGAGCCGCACAGTAAATAAGAGCCTGGTTTGTTTTGTTTTCTTTTTTTCTCTATTCGGTTGCTGCAGGTACAGTAAGGTGTGTCTTGGTTTCGTAATCACTGACTATGAACTCAGCTATATTTGTGGCTGTCAAGGTGTTAATTCTAGTTCGTCTTCTCACATCCCTCAGACAAGTTCACATCCTCATTAGATACTCTCAGGACTCTCCTAAGAAATTCAATTCTCCTCCTGGCTAAATTGCTGCTTTATCCAGTGCCCCACTTAGGGGACAGGGATAATTCCCAGCAAGTCTGCAAGCGAGTCCCCACCCCCCACCCCCAAACCAATGCAAATCCTGGGGAAAACACGGGCTTTTTCAGAGAGAAAACTGACTATGGTAGAGAATTCCCTGTGCTCCCAGATTCTCTTTCAGGGAGCCCTTCCAAAAACGGCAGAATCTTGCTCCCATGTCTCACAGTTGCACCATCTGACAGGGATATAGATGCCGTTCCCAGGGACAGAGTGGAGATGGGGAAGATGGTGCCTGCTTCAGGCATGCTTGTAACCATGTTTTTAACCACCTCTTTATCCTTCGTTTTTACAGTGGTCAGGAGCAAAGGCGCTAGAGAGAGACATTTCCAGGGCACCTTTCACAGAACAGCCAGGGGCAATGAGACAATCCAGTACTGGGGGCTTAAAATTTTATTTCTATTCCAGCGCATTCCCTTACTGAGGGAACATCCCACATACACTGACTGATTTACCTTGGAGATTGCTGTTCGATAAAGATCTTGTCAAAGTGTTTTGTTTTGTTTTGTTTTGTTTTCCAGGTTATCCCTCCTTGCTTCTTTTTCTATTATTATTGCATTTATGTGTTTATTTTCAGGGGGTCACACACCTGTCACAGCCTGTGTGTGGAGGACCGCTGATGCCAGTCAGTTCTCTCCTTCTGCCACTCGGGTCCTGAAGACTGAACTCAGATGACCAGGCTGGATGACTGGCACCTCTACCTACCGAGCCTTCTCCTTAGCACTTATCTCTCTGTTTAGCCTTTAGCTTTTCAATGTTCTTAGAATGACCTCAGGGGTAATTTAAACATACTTTTTAAGTGCTTATGGTTTATAGGTATCAACCCTTCATAATGTCAGTGCCCTCCAGAGAGAAGCATTCTTGGAGGAGAGGGCTCTTTGAGCGCTGTTTCACAGGGCCTTTCTTTCACTTGGGCTTTCCAGTGTTGTTTTTACTTTGTCCCTGGTGCTCTGGACTGGACATTGGGCATTGCTCAGTGAGTGTTCCTTTGGGCTATCCTTAACAGGTTACTACTGTAGGGCTGAGGATAAGCGACTGTCGGGTGCTCACTTCCAACTGAGGCATCTGTATCAGGAATCATACGTGAGAGTGGCTGGGAAGAATGTCAGAGCTGGGAGGGAGAAGAGTGCTGTGAAATGCTGTCTTCCATGTGTGACGTGAACTCACAGGATCTTTGGTTACCTACACGTGATCAAGCAAGCCAGCCTTGATTCCAGGATGCACCGGAGAGGCCCTCATGAGGCCCAGCCCCTAGCTGAGGAGTGATTGGCAGTTCATGGCTGCTGGAGAAAAAAAGGGGTCCATTTTTTTCTGGTATGGCCACTGGTAGTTTGTCATCTCGTAGACAACCCCGCATCCTTGCCCATGGGCCAGAACTAATTGGAATCACTGAAAAAAAGGAGACCGTGAAAGAGGGAGAGAGACATGTTGAAGGAGACTTGGGGATGACAGACGGAGGGTGGATATGATCAATACGTGTTATACCCATGTACAAAATTGTCAATAAAAAATTCAAAACATTTTAAAAAATGATGCCCAGTGTGGAGCTGATACAGTGCATCAGCTAAGACCAGCACTTTCTGCTCAAGTCTCACGCCCTGACTTCAGTGCCCAGAACCTGCAAGAAGTGACGCCACAGGCTGTCCTCTGACAGTCACACACGTGCTGTGGTCTGCACACCCACTCGCACATCATGTGTACATGTACACACACACACACACACACACACACACACACACACACACACACACACACACACCATTTTGTTTAAATAGCAGCTATATCAGTTATGGGACTTACCACTTCAAAAACTTGAAGGCATTCCCATGGAGCCCACTTAAAACACACTATTTTTTGGAATATGTTGGTAAACTGGTTAATAACCTGGGCTCATGCAGCGGTGTTTATCTGGGGCCCAAAAGGCACACCTGGCTTAGGATGGTCTTGCCTGGGACCACATGACTTTCTTCTACATCTTACTCGTATCCCCAGAAGTCTGTGTAGGGCTATTTCCATGGAATTAATTTGGGTTCCATGGTAAAATCTAGAGTAGGCAAGGCCAGCCACCACGCTTGGACACAGGGAGATGCGCAAGTTGGGGTTCAGTCACACAGGCATTTGCTGGACTTGGAGGTGAGCAGCCAAAGCTAGCATGCTTGGAAAGCCAAAACCATGGCCCCAGCTCTACCCCTTACACACAGCTGAGGTCAAGCATGGGCTAGGGTTAGAGGGCAAAGGTTAAAGAGAAGATGCTTGCCCACCATATTGAGGCTGGTAGCCAGAGAGCAGAGTCAAGGCCCTTCCTTCCAGGAGCAGTGGATAAATGACTACTGCTCAGTCAGTGTCAAACACTGTGGTCCAAATGGAAAGGAAGACACTCCAAGGAAGGAAGCAGATAGTCAAGCTGGTAGGGGAGCAATGAGGATAGCTTTGAATCCTACGTGATGTGTTGACATTCAAATTACTTCCTATGCAAGGTCTAGAAAGCTTGTCACATGTCCCAAGATGAAGGTGGCTATAGTTAATGAACTAAATGTTTGATGTCAGGAGCTGTGTCGTGGAAGATGCAGAAAATCTGCACAGAGAATACATCACAGAGTCCCAAGGCAGCACAGACTGTAGGGAGCAGAGGCGGGTGCCACCTGGTAGGGGCACAGAGGTCTCTAGCTCACAGACATCCGGAATGCTAGGCACACAGGGTTGTTGCTTCACGGGAAGGAATGCAGAGCCTGTTTTCTGCCCAGAAGAATGGAGCTTTCTAGCCTGGAGATCTTTGCTCAATCTGTGTGGCTGAAGATGTTCTGGTAGCGGACCCTCCTTAGGCCCCTCTCATAAGCTTGTTTTTCTCTGTCAGTCTACATAAACTACTTTATGGAAGGTGTCGCGTGTACCTAGCAGAGGGTTTTGATGCAGTCACGTCCGATCTGTGTTTAGCCTCCTGTGCTCCTCAAGGAGACAGGCATGCTCAGTGTGTACTCAGGGTTGAGTTAACCCTCATCACAGTTTCCATCAGACTGTGCTGTGTCTAACTACTCCTAAATTAATTTGGGGTCAGACTCCCAAAGTTTGAACCAATACTGGCTACTGAGTTGTGTTTCACCAAACTGCTTTCTTGCCGCCCAAAGCTCATTTTGCTGCAGCTCAAGAAGGTTGCAGGGACATCACCCTGAAAACGTGGCCAGGAGAAGGCCATGCCTCAGGGCTGAGGAGGGGGACAGGACCTAGCCAGGGAGCTTGTCAGTACACAGTCCCTGAATGACACAGGATATTCGAGGGCTGGGGAGAGTGAGTTTCAGTAACCTAAATCCTAAGGAATAAATGAGAGAGGTCAGTGCTTGCAGCCCACCTATGGGGTAACACACACACACACACACACACACACACGCACGAGAAAAATTTTAAAGGCACAAATTAAAAAAAAAAAAACAGCAAGACACAACTATTTTCTTACTAGATCTAACAGATATTAAGTTATTCTGTAATTATCAAAGCTTCAAATAATCCCTCCCCAAACAACTCACCAACTGGCATAGGTCTATGATGCATACTTAGGGTGCTGTGTTTGGCAGTTGCCAGATTTTGTTTGCTGCTGTGAAGACAATCATTACCATGGTTGTTTAGGGGTAGGGGTCCTGGGAGTTGAACCCGGAGCCTTGGGCATATTAGGAGAGTGTTCTAGTCCCGAGCAACACCCACAGCCTGGCTACCAGGCTTGAGTGTCTCCTGTGTTCTATGCCCTGTGCTCAGGCTGCATAGATTCCCTTTAGGCTTTGATTGACTGGCTCCATCTGAAGATAAGGGCGCCAAAGCCTCTGAAACCGTCTCCGGTGTCAATGGCCAAGGCAGGGGCTTTCTTATACTGATGGGTGAGCGTGGGATTGCATAAACATTGGTGTAGTACAATGCTTTCATTACTCACCACACTCCAGGGCGCAGATGAGGGTAGGAGGTGCCCACAACAACCTCCGTGCTGCCTGTATGCGGCCTTTGACTTCAGCACATCTTTGCTATAGCCATTTGCTCCTCCCTAAATGCAGGATGTGGAGATTTGCCAGCCTTACCACGGGACTGACTCTGCTCTCACTCCTCCCTGCCCTCTGCCCCACTGGCACCTGCAGATGATGCCTGGCACCCTGGGGCTGCTGGAATTGGTTATGTACTCTTTGGACCAGGTGGGATCAGACACAAAAACCATACCGCCCGGGGTCCTCACAGCTGAGGCAGATTCCTTACAGCTCCGTTCCGAGTTGGTAAAGGTGTTGTGTTGTGGGCAGTTGTTTTCATTTGTCTACTCAGATGAACTGGAGTAAGCTGAGCAGCAGCAACCCACGCCACGCGGTACAAACTCGAGGCCCACAGTGCTGGGGAAACAGGCAGATGCCTCTGCCTCAGGCTTCCTCAGCCAGCACCATGGACAGCATAGGATCCCTCTGGGGACCTTCCCTGGACCTTAGCCTCAGAAGAGACTCGGCAATAAACAATCACCAGAGAACATTTTTCAGGACCAGAGCCTAGCATGCTCAGGAGATAAGGAAGGAGCAGCTGGGAGCCTCAGCTGCGGATTATAGAGGAGAGACGGAAAAGAGAAGGGTGCTATATATCCTCTCTGAAGCCTTTCCCAACCTTCCCTGCCAAGTATACTCCCCTCCACCCCCACCACCATCTAGGTCCTATTGCATAGGGCAGTTGCTATAATCTGAATGTGTATGCCCTACACACACACCAAATGCATATGCTGAAATGCCATTAGCCTGTGAACTCTCTAGGAGTCCATTAGGTCATGACATAAGCCACCATGAATAGAATCCACGTCCAAAGAGAACCTGGAGTCAGGCTCTCGGCCTTCCCATCAGTGGGGACACAGTCAGAAAGCGCTGTCTCCAGACAGACTGCAGGCCCTGCCAGACGCCAAACCAGCTGATACCTTGACTGTGAGCATCTTAATAAACGGTGGAAAGTAGATTCCTATTGCCTTTCAGCTGCCTCCTTTACATGTTTTGGTACAACAGTCCACATGCACAAAGATGCACACTCACCATGAAAGTCACTCCAGACCAATAGCTTCTTCCTCGTTTCTGCTCCCAGGGCCACGCCCGGCCAAACGGGAAGGCTGGCAGGGAGTACTGCCCACTGAGTATCAGCAACAAATCCATCCATAACAAATAAAGGTACTGTAGAACTTTAAAGTCCATTCTAAGACCTAGGAGAAATCAAAGTTAAATAAAGCCTTTAAACTGTACATATTGGAGCAACAAAATTAGTTAAACCCATAAAAGAATCAGTGGATCATCAGACCAAGCAGTCATCAAGAGGAACCAGGCCAGCTAGGCAGTTTGCTTTCAAGACGCATGTTTGCACCCCCTTCAATGAAAAACGCCATTTCTAAATCCTGGGCCCAGAGAAGAAACGCAGGTATATGTGTAAAATCACAACTTTGTTTACAAACTTAAAATTTAAGGGGAAAAAGCTAACACCTACAGTTTTTTTTTTCCTGGTTGTTTTTTGTTCTATTAGTCCTTACCGCGTAGACCAGGGTGGTCTCGAACTCAGAGAGCTCCTCCTGCCTCTTCTTTCTGAGTGCTGGGATTAAAGGTGTGTGTCACCAGGCCAGACTAAAACCGAAGCTCTTAAGGGAGACTTATTTCTCCATTGCTCTAGGAGGTCTGATAAACCATACAAACCCACTTTCCCCGGGTGCCTGTGTCTGTTTAAATGGAAAATTTTCTCAGATATATCTGAAGTATCAAGATGGGAATGAGATCCTTTTAGCCTAAGATCATAGTGATACAGATGATCAGTAATTAGACACTGAACACTGGGTAGGTTCTTTCTTTTCTTATTCTGGATGTGTTCATCTGTCTTAACTAAGTAAGCTCACACCTCCATCTAACGGAAGTACATTCTATCCAGAGGCAGAGGCCAGCAACAGCGGAACATCATTTTGGGGCCCCGGTATTTCATTCCAGTTTGGATTGAGTTTTACAGATCTGAGGAAGACGCTGGACCTGACAGACTCTATCTGGCTAACAGTTTGACCTGGAATCTTTATAAAGATGCTGAGTGTCCTTTGGATTAAATCTGCTTTGGGGTTTTGCTATTACTTTCCTTCCTGGATGTCGGTGCTTCAATAGGACAGATTCCATTAGGTGCTTCCTTCGCACACCTCAGTCTTATGATCTCTGAGTGGAAGCCATCCTGACCTCTTTGAAAGTCAGATGAGCTCAGCCTTTCTTAGAGGCCCCAGCTAAAAGTGTGGGTCTCTTAGGTCAGCCACAATCATCCTTTCCCAAACTCCAAATGGCTTTGCCCCATTAAGCCATTAGTAGGCCGACTCCGGGTTACATTCCGAGCATCAGTAAGTGCAAAGAGTATGTGAAGTTAAGGATGGGAATTAAGGATGGGAACTGATATTGATTCTTCCCACTCTGTTTTGTAAACGTTCCTCAGGCTACAAAGACCCAAGCCTAGACTGGCTGCTCCGCCAATACTCACCAAACGCACTCTTCACCCAAAAAACTAGTATCACACCTTACATGCCAACTTTGTATAGGGCACCTCTAAGTGCGGGTTAGAAAGGGTGCTTTTGACCTGTTAGGAGAGGTGGAACACAGCAGGTACGGCTTTGAAGGGTGCAGGAGGCTTCAGCTGGATCCCCGTTCTCGTCCTCCCAGCCTCTTTGAGAAGTAGGAAAACAACACAGCCACCCACACTGGTTCTTCCCCTGTGGCTGAGGGCTTCCTCTGCAGATAGTTTCACCTATGATGTAATAAAGGTGCACCATGATTGCTAACCCAAGAACACTGGGAATCTTGAAGAACCTCACACATTTTTGAGATCATCAGTGGTAAAGTTCTTTTTCAAGAGACACCGAGTCATATAGAGAAAACAAAACAAAACAAACAAACAAACAAAACAACCAGAAGCCTTTCAGTCCTCCTCTTTGGAGGAGAAGGGGTGCTTGGTTCCGGCCCCAGAGTGCTGTCAGGAAGTGGTGGAACCTTTTATGGGTTGATGTAAAGGGAGGAAAAGACCACTGAAAGCATGTCCTCAAAGGGGATGGTAGGGCCTTGACCTCTGGCGCCTTGACCTCTGGTGCCATTAAGCATGTGGTTTTCTCTGTTGAATATTTCTGTGTGGTATGCTGAACAGTCATAGGGTCCTCAAACAGCAGGAAGCCATGTGCAGGAGCCTCCCAAACCACTGAGAGCATTTCTTCTTGGAGGGGGTGGGGGTAGGAGGTGGAGAAGGGTTGGGATAAAGTCTTGCTGGGTAGCCCAGGCTGGGCTGGAACTGACTGTGTAACTCAGACTGGTTTGAACTCCCAATCCTGCTCCTTGACCCAGGATTTAAAGTGCATACCATCATGCCTGGCGCACTTAACTTAGCTTTCAGTTGGTGGCCTTATATATTTTGTTACAGTAACGGAAACACAATTAATATAAACATCCCGCAAAGTACATTTAAAAAGTAATAATAATCGTGACTGCTTTTCAGTGAGCTCTCCCTCTATACACTCAATTAGGTCTCAATTAGGTATGGGACAGTGGCTATTTCAAACACCCCATGGGGAATGTCCTTGAGACTGCTCAGGAAATTCTTTCCCGAGGGTGTTGTACCACACACTTTTCTGCTGCTGTGATAAAACACCATGACCAAAAGCAACTTACGAAGAGTTTACTTTGACTTATGGTTCCAGAGAGAGTGCCCACAACGGCAGGGTGTGTGGCGGCTGGTAGAGGGGTAACCGGATGGCTGGAGCAGGAAGCAGAGAGGGCACACCGGAAGTAGGTGAGGCGCTGAACTCTCAAGCCCCGCCCCGTGCGTACTTCCCCCTGGAAGCTCCGTCCCCTCCCCAAACAGCCTCGCCAGCAGGGGACCAAGTGTTCCGACCCCTGAGGCAGTGAGACATTTGTCTGTCAGAGCCCCCAGCCTCCACGCTCTGGCTGCCGGCGCGCTGATTCACCGAGGCTGCCCTCGGAATCGATACCCGGGAACCATGTAGTTTACGACCCTTCGCGTCTGGCTTCCTCAGCGCAATGTTGGTGAGGTTTGTCCATGTTGTAAACATATCTGCTGTTTGATCTTTTGCTGCTATGTAAAATCTCATCAAGTTTCTACCACTTTCTTTTTATGTGGATCCGCGTGGGCCTCCATGAGCATATGTGCACCATGTGCGTGCAAGAGGCCATCAGGTCCTCTGGAACTGGAGTTGCGTGTAATTGGGAGCACCCATCCGAGTGCTGGGGAGCGATCCGGGTGCTAGTCAGGAGCTGCAAGTGCTCTTAGCTGCGGAGACATCGCTCTAGCTCCACCATTTATTAATCCCCTCACTGACAGATGTCTGAGCTGTGACCAGTCTGGAGCTGTTATGTTAGTGGCCTCTTCCATGTCAATGACAGGAGTTCCATTTTTCACTCAGCATTATTCCACAGAGGAATTTACGCAATTAAACAACAGTGAGCTAGAGGAACACAAAGAATTAGAGTAGGGGCAAATGCAATGCCTCTGTAAATAAACTAGTGTGCAGCCTTCTGGTTCTTTATAGCTGCAATAATTAGGTTTCAAGGCAGAGGCCGAGCTTCCTGGAAGTCAAAACAAAAAGGGTAACAGGGTGAATTATATAATAGTCAATCAGGAAGAGGAAGCCAAACCACTGTCAGCAATATGTTCCAAGAAAATTCTTCACATGCAGCTTCAAAGTAGGAGTTGGTGAGAGACAGAGCAGCATTCCCAGAGGCAGCACTGTGAGAAATGCGTTCAGGGTTCTAGATCATGATTTCAGATAGCCCCCGTAAGACTTGATGGCAAGCCCATACAGTAAACAGCATGGTAGTCCATGGTGTGTGTCTGTGTGTGTGTGTGTGTGTGTGTGTGTGTGGCTGTCATGGAACTCACTACTTAGATCAGGCTGGTCTTGAACTCAGATCCACCTGCCTCTGCTTCCCTAGCACTAGGATTAAAAATGTATTTTTAAAGAACAACAACCACAAAAAGAGCCAGGTGGTGGTGCATGCCTTTAATCCCAGCACTCAGGAGACAGAGGCAGATGAATCTCAAGGCCAGTTCAAGGCCAGCCTGGTCTACAGAGTGAGCTCTAGGACAGCCATGCTACACAGAGAAACCCTGTCTAGATAGATAGATAGATAGATAGATAGATAGATAGATAGATAGATAG